CCGCGGCGCGGCGAGGGAGGCTTGGCTCCGACGACGGCCCCTTCTCTTCGAGACCGCTGAGCCTGAGGCTCTGGCCGCCCCCACGTCTCTCTGACCCAGCGACCCGGCCGCTGAGACGGCACTCACCCCGCGAATATCCCAGTAACCGAGAACCACAGCCGACTTGGACGACGACATGGCGACCACCCCTCCGCGCCTTTGGGAACTGGAGGTGGGGCGCGCGAACGCGCGGGGCTTTATAGCTGACGTAAGTGGGCGGGGCCAACGGGAGCCCCGCCCCGCCCCGCCCCCGACTCCGCTCCCACTGTCCTTGTTCCCTCCCTCCGCGTGTCCACAGGGCCACGCGCGGGCCTGACTTCTGCAGTCCCTGGGGTTCAGGGACGGGCCACCCCGAGGCTAGACCCGGGAAGGGCTCGGCGTGTGCGCTCTCGAGGTGGGAGCCGCACTCCGGTCAGTAGTGCCGGTCCGCACAGCCCAGGCAGTGAGGGCCCTGGTTATGCCAGGAGAGTGAGATTCGTGCTAGAAATACTTATCTAGTGGGGTGCGGGTGGGGGAAAGTGGGCAAGCACGAGTCAGACCGTGACTCTGGCCACCAGGGAATCGCTGCCCTTGGTTTGCATGTCGAAGGCGGGTGGGTAGGAAGGAGTCCAGAGCTACTCAGAAGGTTTCTGGCCTGGGGCCTCCACAGCATGGCCACTTAGAACCCTGAGCCTCTTCGACTCGCTAGCCTGGATTTGGAAATCACATTTCCCCCTTAGTCTGGATGAAGCAAGGGTGGGACTTTTAAAAAGGACATTTCACTAAAAAGAAGAAAGGAAGAAAATGCAAATGAACAGGAACAGATAAATTAATAATGCCTAGATCTCTCCTCACAAGATAACAAAAGGCCAGTCACAAGTTAACTGGAGGAATGAGACTAACATTTACTGAATGCCTATGATATGCCAGGCAATAGTCTGGGTATTTCATATATTTTAGCTAATTTTTTCCAATTTAAGCTTCACGACTTCGTGAAGGAAGCTTTATGCCCATTTTCTAGAAGAAGATAAGCGAGTCCTGGAGAGGTTGGGTGATTGCCTTTCTAAGCTCAAGTTCTCACAGGTGGCCTGGGATTCGAACGTAGGTCTAATAGCACAACTTATGCTAGTTCCACTGCACGTGGACATCCAGAGAGCCCTTCACTTCATTTCAATTTTTGCTGGGAAATCTGGGGAGCACGGGTCTAAAACACTTTTTTTTTTTTTTCCTGGTCCTTGGTCTATTACAAGAGCAAGTTGCCCGGAACACCTGATATGCTCATTAGTGTTTCTTTAGCTTACCAGCCAGTGTGACTGATCAAAACCTACCACCGTCAGCCCTGATGCTCTTTGCTCCTGTGAAGTGTTGTGCCCCTGGCTCTGACGGATGCCTTGGAACATACTGGGAGAAATATACACAGAAGGATAAAGATGATGAGCACAACCTTATTTGGGAGTTTGTTTAGAAAGAGAGTAAGCAGAGTTTGGGCCATATTCTCCAATTGTGACTCTCCATTCCAAGCTGCAGTGGGAAATCCCATTCACATTTAATCTGGTCCTGTGAGGGATGTAGGGCTGTTGCTGTTTCATTCCCAGTGTCCCAGCTCTTCCTGCCTCCCTGCCTTTGGCCCCCACCAGGCCCAGAAGAAGCTCAAGGGAGGCACATGACAAGCTTGAAGATGCTTTTATTGGGAAGGAGAGGGATTAAACAGAGTCCTGACAAATCTAGGCATACGTGCTACCGGTTAGAAGAGAGACAATAAATAGATGATAACTAGAGAGGACTCCTAACACAGTTAGAGGGGACACCATTTGCCCCATCCTCTGGGCTTGCTCATTCTCTTTGCTCTGTGAGGTTGGTGTGGGGTTTGCTGCAAACTGGGGACCTGAAAGAGGAATTCTCGGGCCTCTAAAGAGTACCAGATCCTCCATCTTGCTTATGAGAAGGCCTTGGTCTTGATGTGTCCGAGTTGATACCTAAGGGCTCATCTGAGGAAAGAAAAGGATTGAGATGAGGCTGGAGCCAGGGGACCCCTCACCCCCCACCTCAGAGCTCATGCCAACACTCAGCTTGGAGCCTCCAGGCATGCCCGAGCACATGAAGTCAAGCCCCTCGGGGAAGAGCCTGTGTCCAGTACTGCCACATTCAGTTCCACCCCAGGGGTGGGCCTGCTCGCTTGTCTGTCTACCTGGCACTCTCACTGTCCCCAGGGACTAGCCCACATTTCCACTGGGGGTTAGGAACGCAAGTGTCCTCACCCCCAGCATCCTTCTGACGGCCTGCAGCCGTGCCAGGACCTGTGGGGCCTCCTGTGGACACAGCATCTGTAGCTCCCCGGGTCTTATGTGAAGCAACTGGTTCCCCATCAGGGACCCAAGGGTCTTCACGGTGCTGGGAGCAAAGACAGAGAAGCTGTCAGTGGTGGGGCAGAAGGACCTGGGCCTGAGGAACTGGGTAGAGAAGGGGCTGTTTGGGCTGGAGGCTGGGGTTACAGGAGAATTTGTGGAATAGGGTATCTGGAGGTGAAGGAGGTGAGACATGCATTTTGGCTTAATCCAATTTCAGAATTCCTGGGTTTGAAGGAAAAAGTTTCCTGGAAAAGAATCTTGTGGTGGGGAGGGGTGGCTGGCAGCTGAGGTTGCACCTGAGTCCCCCTGATGCTGCTGCCTTCCCCATGGTAGCAGTTCCCCACTTAGTGCTCTCACAGAGGCACGGGCGCACCCCCTCTTCTGCTCTCTTTAACTCGGCAGAGGCAGCGCTGCCACGGGGCAGCACCTGAGGCCCCGCCGTGTACGGCGAAGGTCAAGATGTATGTTCTGGGGCTCTGGGTTTCCTTGATTATTGTGCAGACCCTTTACAGAGGTCCGTTGCCTCAACGCACGCCATGGGGCTAGGCACTCACATAGTGGAGAAGTTCTCTGCCTGCAGCCAGGCTGTGACCTCCTCAGGCCTTGAGCTAAGTCGAAGCACTGGAGCCTAGAATTGGGGGAATTGGGAGTCAGAGCCTGTCTCGTGCCAGAGCCACCCACGCCTGCCTCATGTGGGTCCCTTCTCTAGGCTGCCATCAAATCACTTATCTAACTCTACAGTTTGCTTGTCTGGCAGGGACCAGGCTTGTTCTCCGCTCTGGCCCAGTGATAAACTTGGCACACACTAAACATGTGATAATACCAATTAAACTGAACCAGGACTACCTCTTACACTTATCGAATGCTCCCCGCCCCCACCCAAGACAGGCCTTGGAGCTTCTGGGTAGTCTAGGCTGGGTGGTACCCGAGAGTGCTCCTGGCCCCCCGCCTGAAGGGGCGCCAGGATGTTGCTGGGAATGTAGCCGCGCTGTCCTGTCTCGTTCTTCACCAGCCACCATCGCTTGCTGTTGTCTAGGACCTGCCGAGAGTCACGACCCCAGTTACCGGAGCTTCTGTCGAGCCAGTCTCCCCTCCCCCACAAAGCTTTCTCCCTCTCGGCCCTTCCCCACTCTAGGCCACCCACCCCCCCAGCCCCACACCCGCATCACCCACTCCAGCCTGCCTGGAGCTCCCGCCCACCACCACCTTCTTTTCTAGGCTCCAGCCCGCGCCTCACCTCGAGCACCTCTTCCTGGGTCACCGTCAGTTCCCGTGAGTTCCTAGCTTCAAACTCATATAGGACTTGCATTTTCAGGACTGGCTTGACAGGTCTAGGGTGGACGGGCACAAGGTTGGGACCCCTGGCTAAGGGCCGTGGTTGTGTGTCTCCTCTTGAGCCAAGTGTGATGTGTTCCCTGACCTAGCGCTTCCCAACTCCCCCCTCACCCCAGAGAGAAAGTTAGAATAGCTGGAGAATGGGTCTCAAAAATCGAGCCCCTGTCTCAGCCCCAGAACCCTATATATCTCCTGCCTGGAGTCTGGGGGTGACTTTTGGGTTTCCACAGAGTTTAATGGCAGGTCAGTGTTAGGTGGGGCTTGAGGTGGGGGTTTCTGCAGGCAGGAGGTGTCTGAAATGTGGCTGATTGCTGAAGACTCTTCCAGCAGTGGACTTTTCTATATCTGAGCTCTTCTCTGAGCACTTTACGCCTGAGCTCAGGGAAATCAGAGGCATGCACGAGCAGTATTGCGAGAAGGGGTTGGAGCCTGGGAAGGTAAAAACCTGCATTTTCACCCAAAGTAGGGCAGGATGTACTTGTACATATACGTGTCTGGCTAAAAAAATCGCTGTGAGGGTCTCTGAGATGTAGCATCCACGGGACCAACCCCATCCCTCCCTCCCCACAACCACACAGTCCCGACTGAGCCCAGGGCTTACTGGAGAGGAGGAGAGTCCTGGTATCCTGAGGGAGCCTGTGGGGGCAGAGCAAGGAGTCAGCCAGCATGGAGGTGGGGAGCTGGTATCACACCACAGACCCACTCGTGCACAGCCGCCTCCCGTCCCCTCCTCTGCCTGCCCACCACCCAGATATAGGGTCCCACATGAACCCACCTGCCACTCAATTGCCAAGTGACCCTGATTTGGACCGACGAGGCAGAAACTAGCCAGAGACCAGGGCTTTGAGTACGGCTCTGTGCTAAGTTCCCCGTACCTGGTTGGAGGGTTCTGGAAGCTGCCAGCCATCATAGAACGTGGGTTGGTAGGGCAGAGGCTCATCGCCTGTCCAGTCAGCCCTGGGGAGAGAATAAAGCTGAGTCCAGCCTGAGCCAGGCTGTGGGATGTGGGGAGAAAAGAGATGACAGAGCCTAGCCTCGGGGTCTTTTGGGTAATGGAGGACCTGGCCCACGTGCACAGATGAAAGGCCCCGAGGACCCTCACAAAGAAGCAAAGAGTGAGTCACGAACAGATCCCAGAGTGAGGGTGTCTGCAGCCAACTTCACTTCTGCCCATGAAGTACAGATACCTCACCTCCGCAGGAATATGCACTAACCGTGGGTTCGAATTAAAGTGGTGGGGGCAGAGGTGAATATCTCCTTTCCTGCTCTGTCACTGGACTTGGGACACCCTGGGTTATTTCTCTTCTCACAGTGTACTGCATACGGCTCTCTCAAATGTCTGTGTCTGACGATATTGAACTCGAGAACTATTATCCCAAGTACAGTTGCGGGGCGGGGTCGATTCATAGGCAACAGCTAAAAATCATTTCTTCAATGGGAACAAATAAATTATTCTCTCCTAAAAATCTTTTTAACTGATTTCTTCTCTTTGCCCTAAAAACATGCTCGAGTCTTCCCTTGACCCTGTTACTACTCCTTGTAAGCCGTCATCGTGTTACCTTCTCTTTACTCAGTTTTTTGAGAATGTGTCTATACGCTCTGCCTACATTTTCTTTCTTCTGGTTCTTTTATTATTCCTTTGCCTCCTGGTTTTTACCTCTGCCATTATTCTCTGGAGACCAGTTCTTCTAAAGTCCCACTGACTTCCTGATTGCCAAACCCAATGGCCTTGTGTGGCCCACACCCTTCTGGACCACAGCATTTAGTGTTATTTATAGCTTTGGGTCGATTGGCCTAAAATCAAATCTCCTAAGTATAATTTGCCTGAAATCCAACTCTTTTTACATCTCTTTAGTCTGTTTTCTGTATTCTCGTCTTTCAATTCACTCATTCACTAGTTTTTGTTGTTGTTATTCTAAGAAATCAGAAAACGCTTTAGGGCGTATGTGACCTAATTTTGTATTTAAAATAACAAACAGAGACAGAAAGTAGAAGGGTGGTCACCAGGGGCTCGGGAGAGGGAGGGACTGCAGTTTTGTCAGTTGTTGACTGGGGGACAGAGTTTCCGTTTGGAATCATGAAAAAGTTCTGGAAATGGATAGTGATGATGGTTGCCCAATCTTGTTAATGTACCTAATGCCGATGAATTATACTCCTCAAAATGTTAAAATGGTAAATTCTATCTTATGTGCTTACCTTATATTCACACACACATACACACATGCACATGCACACACGCACACATCTATATTCTACCACAATTGAGGAGAGAGATGACATCAAATTATCATTTATGTCTTTAGGTGGGTTGGACAACAAATCCTTTAATGGGGCTGAATGGAAAAGAACTGCTCCCAAGGCTTGTTTCCGGGTCGACTTCTCTTTCTAAAACCCTCTTCTCCCTTGGTTTTTATGCCTCTGCTTTTTTGTTTCTCCTCCTTTAACTCTCAGGAATGTCTCTCTGCCTCCTTAACCCCTTTTCCCTTCTCCACCTACGTGTAGAAGTTTCCCTTCTCTCCTGGCATAGAGCAGATTCTGCTTGTTTAGGTGAGTCCAAGGCTGTGCACTGGAGCACTTGCCTTTAGTCGACTCCAACCATCTTTTCTGTCCTGACTGTTCTCAAACACACATTGCCAGGTTGGGCCTCTCCCCTCAGGGCTGGGCCACCCTGTCTCCGTGGATTGTTCTACTGACACTTCAGCTCAGCACATCCAAGCTGCTTCCATCCCCGACGCCTCATGGCTCTCGTCAGTTTGGCCTTGTCGTCCCACTGCCTGCCCATCTCATGGCTCCACGGACATGCAATCAATCTCTCTCAACTCCTCGGTCAGTCGGTTGCCAAGTCTTACTGATGTTACATTTTCAGCATCTTACATCAGTAATGCTTTAATTCTGGGCTGGAGTGAGACAAAGTTTTCACTTTGTCCTTGACACAGATGAGGAAATATTTTAGTAGAAGGTTGCCAACTCTAGTCTCTTGGGAAAAATTGTTCTGTATTTCTGAGATAATGTCTTTTCTTTAGTGGTGGGTTTAAAAAGAAATTTTTCATGCTCGGTCTAATGAAAAGTTAGGAATTCCATTGTAGAGTCCCCCAACTTATTTTGAGACACGTTTGGTTTGTCACGATGTAGAGCCTGCCGCATCCATCGCCCTGCCCTGTGCCCCCAATTCAGTTCAAGTCTTGTCTTCACTCACCGGCTGGTGGTCCAGGCCACGCCCAGCCCCTTCCAGAGGTTACTCTCAGCGGGGCTTAGGCAGGACTGCAACAGGTCGATGGCTTTGGGGGTGAGGAGAGGTGAGATCACTTGGGAAGCTAGGTCAAGCTTAGCGCACTGGCTCAGGATCTAGAGGAGGGACAGAAGGTGTCAGAAAGCCTAGGCTCCCACGGGGCCCAGCTGGGGTGGGAACGGATCCAGAGTCCTTTGCCACGTCACCTCAGGCCTGCTGCTTTTCCCCAGCTCCCTACCGCGGCCCCTCTGGTCTGCTGAGGGGTGTTGCACACAGCAGGGATGGTGTCTCAGGGTTGAAGAGGGTGTGTTGGGTGAGCGAGGGGCAGACCCCACGGCATCCCTCTGCCCCCAGCCTGCCTCTGCTCCGTCTCCACTTCCGTCTGTACCTCTTCACCATCCTGTTCACCCCCAACTCACCAAGTTCAGAGTTTGGAAGATGAGATGTACAAACTGAGGGGCAGTCGTCTCCTCCAGATGGATGGCTAGCTTCCCCTGGGGACACAGGGTGATGCTGTCACCGCCACTGATCCCGCCCCACCTTCAGCAAAACCCCGAGGTCCATAATTGTTCTGGGCCTTAGCTGGGAGCCTAGCCCTCTCTGAAAGTCCCCAGAATGGGGCGGGGAGGTTCCAGGAGGAGAAGCTAGAGAACCCTGGGATGTTTATGAGACTGGGGGGTGGGGGGAGCAGTTTGCTGAGGGGAGTTTTGGGAACTTGTGGGGAGTAAAATACCAGGAGGTTGAAGCTGTACTTGATCTTCTGGAAGCAATCAATGTACTGCGCCTGTGTCACCCCTGCGGGGGAAGGGGAGAAGGCAGCGCGCGTCACACATTATCTCAAGACACCCTCCCCCCATCCCACCCTTCTCTCGTCCTCAGCACTCACCTCCCTGATACTTTTTTTTCTTCCTTAGTTTCTTCTTATGATTGCCGTTTGCCTCGGCCTCCTTCAGCTGTCCTGCGAACACCTCGATGTCTCTTAGGACATGGTTTAGCACCTCCTGGACCGCAAACAGCTGTGGCCTTGAGTGGGCAGTTAAGGCCATCCTAGAACTCCCAACCCTGCCCCTGCCCAAGGCTTCCTGTCCCTCCTCAGCCCAGGACCTGTCTTGGCCATGCTGGGACCTGGTCTGCCCGGGAGAGGGGGTGTCCTCCCTTCCACCAGGCTCAGAAAGCCTCCGCAAAAACCCAGACAATCTGCAGTCACCTCATCTCTGGCTGGGTCCTCGGGGGATGGGGGCCGAAATGGAGGAGGCAGAGGGAAGGTGCTTGGTTCTCGGGCACTGGACCTTAGGGATGGTGGTATATCTGCAATGTAAGGGGGCCATGGCCTCTTTGATCTTCGCTCTAAAACTTTTCCCACCTTTCCCACACCCTAAACTTACTGTGCTCTGGGGCCATCCTGGGGCGCTGTTCTAGAGGGGGCTCCCTTCCAAGGGGGGGTGCCTGCTCCTTGGGGAATGGTCTTTCCAGAGGAGCCCCCCTCCATCTGTCCTGGTCTTGGTGAAGGGCTCCAAATCGGGGTCTGCAGAACACATCGTGGGGTCAGAGCTTCGACAGTGTTCTCGGGACAGAGGCTCTATCCACGCCTTCCTCCAGGTCCCCATCTGGACCCTTCCCTGACTCCACCCTGCTTAGTCTGCTCACCTCTGGGCCGTCTCAGGTCTCTGCGTCAGCCTCTGGGGATAGCCTGCAGTGTTCCCTGGGCCCAGCCCCAGCCCCTTCCTCATGCCCATATATTCCCTGGTCCCAGCCGGGCCCCTCCCCAGCTCCAGGCCCAGGTTCATGGGGCCATAGGCTCCTGGGCTCCCCTAGATGTGGGGCCAGGGTCTGGAGGGCCAGGGTCTGGCACACCCGGGCCCAAGCTCTGAGGTGCTGCAGGTGGTCTGGGGCAGAGGCTGCCTACCTGTGCTCCGGCTTCTCCTCCAGGGCCTTCTGCAGGCTGGTCCTCAGTTGCTCTGCCTGGAGAAAGCAGCAGTTAGGCAGACGATGTGTGTGCGTTTGTGGGGTGGAAGGAGAGTGCTGGCTGTTGGGCTTCATACCCACTCTTCCCTCATCTTCACCCCCGGCCACTCACCCCCACTTCCTGGCACTGGAAGAGCAGAGTGCTGCTGCCCGGCAGGCTCGGATCCTGCACAGTGACGGACAGGATGGAGTTGTAGGAGCAAGTGTTGAGTGCCACGTCCATGGCTTGGATGCTGTCCAGCTGGTAAGAGTCCAGTTCCTCCTGAGCCAGGTGCAGAGGGTAGCTGTGAGGTCACTGAGAGCCGGGGTGGCTCCTGCGATCTTCTGACATGGGTCACCCCAGCCCTCCGGTGGCCTGGGGCTGGGGTATCATCTCCCTTGGTCCCTTCGTAGGCCTGGGTGTGTTTCGTATATGGGGAGCGGTAGCTGCTGTTCGGGGCATGGTGGGAGGGCTGACCTTGGTCTCGATGTCCAGTAGCTGGAGCCAGCCATCCCTGACCTGCAGGATCAAGTCCTGGCTCCACACCCGGCCCTGAGCGTCCATCTCCTGTAGCTTCTGCATGGCGTCCTTGGGCTCCCGGACTCTCTGAGTGCCCAGCTTACAGGTCATCAGGTGCTGAGGGGAGAGGAGGAGGCCCAGGACTGGGAGCAGGTTTAGAGAGAGGGATCACAGGCGGGTGGACAGGGCAGGGCGGGGGAAAGGCAGCAGCAGAAGGATGCACGGCCTGGCTTCCCCGGGGGGGAGGTCCCAGGCAGTCCCAATGAAGCAGCCTTCAAGGGCCAGTGCGAGGGCCAGAAGCAGCTGGCCTAGGATAGGGCTTCCAAGTCAGGGGCCGAGGGGCCGCACAGCGGGGTTTAGGACCCTGGAGGAAGGACATGGCCTTTTTCAGTCCGGGCCAGCTGAGGGGGCTGGATGGTGGCAGATGTGGGCTGAATGAATCTGAACTCCTCTGAGTGGGCTATAACACCCTCACATTCTGACCCTGGCTTCCTTTGCCCACTTTGGGAATCTACCATCCCAGCCTGGTCCTCAGTGACCTAGCATTCCTGTCTCTGTGCCTTTGCGCATGCCGGTTCCTATACCCATAATATCTGTCCTACTTCTGCTCATCCATCACCTCCCAGTGTCTCAGGAAGAAGACCAAGCCCCACCTCCTCCCTGATCCTTGCCCGGTGAGGTCTGTAATGATCTCAGCTTCCCTCGCACACTGATGGTCTGATCCTCTCCACAGGTTTTTGCTCTTATTCTCCTCCTTGAGGAGACCCCTCCCTTCTCCCATCCAAACTTCAGAAGTCGCGATCTTGCCCCTCGCCGTCCCTTCCAGGCCCATGGCGGAGGTATGCCATCTGCCTCCTGCCCCTGATCCCATCATCCTGCCCTCTGCACCTCTCCCGGCTCCTCTCCAGGCGGAGCCGCCACACGTTCAGGGGCCGCCGACATCATGAGCAAATGCCCTGGCATCCTAGGCAAGCCTCCTCTTGCTCTCGCCTGCCAGGCGTTTCCAACCCCCACCCCTGTCACACACGGAGCCCAGTACCCTTGGCCCCAACCCAGCTGGCTCGGGGAGCCCTGCCTCTGCTGCCCTGTGGACCCTCCAGACCCTTGCCAGTGTCCCTCCCTGCACCTTCATGACAGCCCTAAGTCTACTGCCAGCCTGGGGCAGTTTCTACCCAGAGGCTTCAACCCGACCAGATGCGCGCTCTCCTCACCACAGCCTTCCCTTCTGCAGGCAACTAGACCTCATGGTGCCAGCGCCCTCCTCCTAGGCAGGGCCGGAGCCTCCGTCCCAGCCTCCGAGCAGCTCACACCCACCTGGGGAGCTCAAGCCCAGACACCTCCCCTCTCCTCCTTTCTCCCGCCATGCCAGGTCCTGGGCAAAGAGCAGTTCCTTGGGGACCGGTGTGGCAGAAGGTCGGCCGGGAGATAGGTAGGGTGGTTGCAGGTGCCTGCTGACCCATGCCTTCACTACTGGTTCCTGCCTGGGGACAGGAATCCACCAGTTTAACCTCCAGCTCAGTGTTCCTGCCAATGCCCAGCTGCCCGGTCCTCCTTCTTGGCACTTGGCAGGTGCTCCGTTAAGCTTGTTGGACCGGAGCCCACCCACTCTGGCCGGATCAGGCAGTTGGCTTCCGTGGCAGAGGCTTGATGGCATGTCTGCTTTTCGGCAGGGTGCTGGATGCACAGGAAAACTTGGGTTGAATCAGGAAACTGTCTGGGCCCCTGGCTTACTCACCTCCACCCTGTGCTGCAGGTGGGTGGGCTCCGAGGTGAGGCTGTGGGAGTACTCCTTCCGGTGCACTGCGGGGGTACAACGGAGGGGATGTGGGGCAGGAGATGGTGAGACGCAGGCAACTGCAGGAGTGGGGGTCACGTAGGGGAGAGAGAGACCGGAGGGCTGGGGTTCAGGGAGCTCAGGGGAGGGACGCAGAGAGGGGATGAGAGGAGGAGCTTACTGTAAATGGCTCTGCTGCTGGGCCGGGACATGGTGGCACTGCCCAGATGACTCCCTAGAACCCAAAGTGAACCAAAGGGACAGCAGTCAGGGCTGGGAGAGGGATCCTAGGGCAAAGCAGGGCCGGACACTGCTATCGCGGCTTGTGCCTGACCCGGCCTGAGATCTGGACCAGGCCCTCGCCCGTGGCCTCCAGGACCAGACTCGCAGCCCCGGCTCCAGCGGCCTTTCTGGAGCCATTTCCAGCCTGCTTTCCGCAGAGGAGCCCTTGTCTTGGCTGGGCCTGGGAGGCCCCAGGGTAGGCTCTCGGCCTCCTGATAGTTGGCTAATAAGGTTCATTCCAATGGGCCCAGGACAGCTGTGCGGTCAGGGACCTGGGACCAAATCCGTCCTGGGCCCGCGTGTGAACGATGCCAGAGGGGAGGGCTGCGCCCAGCTCCCGTAGTCAAGGCGACCGGCTCAGGAGGGGTGTGTGTGCGACGTGTGCGTGTGTGCGAGTGCACATGTGCATGCACGTTTGTAATGGGGCTCTGTAGGATTTGTCAGTGATCTGCACTCTCCTGAGTGTCTTACCAAGTCTCCGGGCCCTTTGCCTTTCCATTCGCCGAACCCTCTGCCCAGAGCCCTTCCCATCCAACCCTAAACTCCAACTCAAGGATCACCTTCTCCTTGAAGCCCTCCTTGACCATCCCACTCCACTCTGCCCAGCGTGCCCTCCTACTGCCGCGCCAAACCTTGTCCATCCCGGTCTGGGCTGTGAGCTCGGTGCCAAAGCCCTGATGAACATTATGTCATTGAATTTTCATTTCCATCTGCTTAGACTTCCTTGGCACTGTGTGCCCAGCACTGTTCTACAGACTCCACATTCATCAACTCGTTTAGTCCACAGAACATCCTCTCAAGGTGGTACTGTTATCATCCCGTGTACCTGATGAGGATGCTGAGGGCCCAAAGAGGGTAACAGACTTGAGGTCACGAGTGAGTATTTAATAGAGAATGGACCCAGCCCTGGCTGGCTGGCAGCTCCATGCTCGAATGGTCTGTATATGTCCCTCTGTCACTGGGCCGTGAGCTCCTAAGGACATACTTGTTTTGCCACCTCCATCTCCCCTGTGCCTTCCTAAAATCAGGGGTAAGTGGGGGGAACTGGACAGAGTGGTCTGGAGGACATTCGCGTCCAAATGGGATGGAGGTAAATGTGGTACGTGCGTTCGTGTGGGGCGGGCTTGTGGGCCAAGGGTGTGTGTTATTTGAATGAGGTGTACATGCGTCATGGATGGGCGTCAGGGTTGTGGGTGCCCATTCATCCGCATGGGATGCCTGTGTCATACAGAAACTCTGGAATATCCTGGGCAAAGAGTAAGAGAGCAGCTCACACTCCTATTTACTAGGATTGTTATGAAAATAGCCGAGGATCTGATAAGATAACTCAGTGGCGAGGAAATGAGTGGCTAGTAAACAACGATGGGGTTGTGGGGGAGGAGTCGGGCCTGTTTTCCTTATTTAGACGGACCCCTTTCCTCTCCAAGGGTGAGGGGTGTTGGAAGCCTGCTCGTCCTCTCCCCAGACCCCCCCTTCGTCCTCTCCCCAGACCCTCCCCTTCGGCTTGCGACACCTCCTGCTTCTACATACGGAAGAGAAAGGAATGAACTCTGCGGTGGTCAGCGCTGCTCCCCACTTCCTTCTATGCCAGGATAGTCCCTGCGGGTCCCCGCAGTGGCTTTCCTTGCTCAAGATGCCAACCACAGGAGCGGGGAAGGAGGCCTGCCTTGCCCCTGGGGGTGAGGCGGGGCCATGGCAGTCCAGATTCCCCCACTTACCCCTGAATTTGGGGGCTTGGAGCAACACAGCCCAGAGACGCTTCTGGAGTCCTGGTTCCCGAGGCCTACTTCCCAGTCAGCTGGCACACAGCTGAGTCCCAGGCCCTGCTGAGGACGACTCCTCCTGGCTGGAGACCCTGGCCTGGGAAGCCACTGAGCTGCCCCCACCACCTTGGGGTCCCCTACAGCTAGCTGGACCCTGACCTGCATGAGGGCCAGGCCTTACCTGGGTTCCAGGGAGGCCTGGGGACTGGTGTTTGGGCTGGTGATCTGGTGCTGGTGGTGTCTTCTCTGCTAGTGGCCACAGGAGAGGCCCTGTGATCAGGCAGGCCCCAGGTGAGCAGGAGGGCCTGATGGCGCTGTGGTCATGAGGCAGCCACACCTGTGCTCTTTGGACTCTGATGGGTGGGGAGGCCTCCTAGGCCACTACCTGCCTAACACTGAAGACTGAACCTTTGGCAGTGCGTGTGCCGACAGGTGTCCCAAGCTTAGCCAGAGACCCTTGCTTCCCAACGTCCTCCTCTGCTTGCCTCTGGTGTGAGGGTGTGGTCCCCTCTTCCCTCTGCCTTTTGGATACCTCTTCTGAGGCCCCAGGTCAGCATCAGGCACAAGCACTGGGACGAGAAGGAGAGGGTACCCATGCCGAGGAGAGTCCGGCTTCTGTGGTCAGGGGACAGGTAGCTGGAAGTGGACCCCGGCGTTCAGGGAAGCTGTAAGCTGGCATGAGTGCCTGTGGGTGCATGTGCTGCACGTGTGAACGCATGGTTGTGTGTGTCCAGGTGTTGCCTGGGAGCAGGACATGGATCTCGTAAGAACAGACGGGGACCAGGCACTGGGACCACCATGGGCTTCCATGGAGGGCTGAGATTTCTTTCTGGCAGGGCCCACTTCATTCTGTCCTTTATTTTGTCCCCTCCGTCTGGCGGGAGGCTCCCCCACCCCATTCTTGTTCTTCTGCTCTCTCTCCTTCCCCACCTTGCCCCAGGCCCTCAGACCTCCGGTCGATGCCTGGTTCGCTTTGGCAGAGATGGGAACCTGAGGCCTGCCTCTGTCCCTCTTCATGAGCCCACCCAGTCCTTGTGCTTCGTTTTGTTTAAAAACCCAAACCTTTCTTTGTCCCTAGGGTGGGCCAGGGAGGGCAGGAGGGAGATGCCAGCATGGTGAGGGGTCTCGTGGGCAGAGGGTCAGGGCCTCGGTGGGGGTGAGGACAGTCCTGCGGCCTGAGAGCACAGCCTTGGCTGCCCTGGGGTCACCCCAGGAGATCTCAGCCTGCTCCCCGGCCCCTACCCCAGCCAACACTGCCCGGGCCAGCCTGGAGTCCAGAGGTAGGATCCGGGCCGGGGCTGTGAGGGCCAGCTGAGAGGCCTGGGGATCAGCTGCCTGCTAGGCCAGCCTCTAGCCATGGCCTCGTGGGACCCGCCCTCCTAACCCCACCCCGCTGGCAGTTCTGTTCTTTGGGTCTCAGACGCTTGGTCCTTCAGCTTCTTTCAGAGCAGGACAGCCTGTCCCTCCATTTCTCCCTCTCTCTCCCCGAGTCCCAGCCCCAACTTCATCAAGGCTGTAGCCGCATCCCACCCCCAGCCCTGGCCCAGGTGCCCAGCCAAGACCTGGCTCAGGCCAGGCCCCGTCCTTCCCACAGGCCTCTCCCCGCATCGGCGCCCGCACAGCAGTCACTCTCAGAGTCCTGGGGCTGCGCAGGGGCACGCCTCCCTGCAGAGATGCGCACGAAACCTTGGTGCCGGGAGCCGAGGAGCACCCCCTGACGTTCTCGGCGTCTTGCCCTTTGCAGAGCCCCTGGGAGTGGGTCTCCTCAGACAGGGACCATGGCAGCCTGGGGCTTCTTCAGTGCCAGGCATTGTGGACATCGGGCAGAGTGGAGCCACTCCAGGGAAGGGGGCATTAAGAGTGTTGGAGAGGCCAGGCCACTGACTCCGGGGACTTCGGGGCCATAACTGATGCTTTTGCACAAAGACAGCTCCAGGTGTGAAAGCAATACTTTGGCAAAGTTATCTTACCCGGGGCAGCAGGAGCCGGTGCTCAGGGGAGAGTGGAAGGAAGTGGAGACTCAGGGGCATCTCCTTGAATTGTGAATTCATTCATTCATTCCTTCGTTTGCTCGTTCATTCATTTGTTCATTCATTCATTCCCTCCGCAGTTATATAGCGCGGGCTTCCTGCCTGCCGGGCACTGCGTTAGATGCTGGGAGACACCCTGGAACTCAGCCCGAGTTCAGTATCTCCTCCCAAACAACCCAGCCTCTTCTCTCATGTTCCCAGCTCGGTGAAGGCACCAACACCAAGCCAGGTGTCCCAGCAGGGCACTGGGACCATCCCCAGGTCCTCCCTCAGCCCCCGCACCCAGCCCATCACCCATCCCGAGTCCCGCCTTCTTAGCAAGTTCCTACACACTCACCTCCCTCCCACCCCCGGCTCCTGCCTGAGCTCAGATCCTCGACCAGTTGTCCGCTTGTGACCTTGCGGCTGCCTCCCTCCCGCCTCCCTACCTCCGGTCTCGTCCTTATCAGTCCTCCCCGCTCCTTGTGGCCGGGGATCCCCCTGGACCGGAAATTTGATCGTTCGTACTCTGTCTAAAAGCCATCCCTTATGGATACATTTATTAAAACTTTGAAGATCTTTACAATTTATTTTATAAATTCTTATTAACTCTAGGAAACCCAGAAGTCCCAGAAATTAGATTTCAAAGGATTTAGAAAGAATTCCTTATAAAAGCTTTCCATATCACGTTCCTTGATAACTGGGACTTGGACCACTTTGGGCGTCATTTCGCCCCCCACCCATCACCTTGATAAATTAGCCAGCAGCGGCACATGAAATCGTGAACAGACGAGAGACTCGTATTTACTCTGATCCAAATGTTGCGCATAGAGCCATATTTACTATCGAATGGCATAGGAGCTTCGCGAACTTGAGGCTCCTGCCTCGGAGCCTCGCCTTATCTTCCCCCGCTCCCTGCCCCTTGTACTTTACACTCAGCCCGGAGAATGACTTGTGATTCCTAGGCGAGTCAGGCCTCCGCGCTTGGATGCCTGCTGTTCTCCCTGCCTGGAACGCCCTTCCCTTCCTCTTCCGCCCGTGGGAAACACCTAAGATGCCTTCACGGCTACATGTCAACTCTGCCTCCTCTGGAAGCCTTCCCACTGCCCAGGGCTGGGGGGGGGATTCCGGCCCGTGGCCCCCAGACCACTTGTGCAC